GGGGGGGGTTGCCATGGTGGCCTGAGTCATGCCAGAAGATTCTGGAATGAGCACTGGGCAGCTTGTCGGAGTAGAGTCAGTGAATAGGGGGACAAAGATGTATTCAGCTTGAAAACAGGGACAGCTGTCTTTGCTCAAAGGATTCCTTTAACAGTCTAATAGTGACTGCAGTGCAAGCGGAGGTGCAAACCCGCATCCTGCTATTCAGATAAACAAGACGGAAGAAAGTTCCTCTCATTCTTAGCTCCTGCTCGCTTCAGAGTGCAATTGTCTCAGGAGCGGCTAAGAAACAAATAACCGCAACAAATGCTGGAACGTTTATCCTCCACCGGAACGAGCTGTATGTTTTTGGAAATGGTGCTCAGGTGTCTGTCGAAGGCCTGAAGCGGCAGGCCTGTTATGTCAGCAGATCACAGCCCCACCTTTCCCCGTCACTCTCGTCGCTGGACTCCACCTCGTCCAGGGCGGCCTGCAGCCGGGCAACGCGCTGCGCAGACGTCTCCAGCTCCGCCTGCAGGGCCTGCTGGGCTGAGGTCACCACCTCCAGCTGCAGCTCCTGCAAATGCAGATGTGATATACAGGATATCTGAGAATCACGCTAAGCAGACAATTCGATGAGGTGCTATATGTTTATGTATATCACATGGAATCCCCCCCCCCCCTGATAAACACAAGCGCTAGATGAAAAGGTCATTCGAGGTTCGAACCCCTGTTATACTGTACACTGGGCAAAAAGGGCCACCCGCCAAGGGATTAATCAATGGTTATAATGGTGCACAGCAGGTCGACACCCGCAGGCCGTTAATCAATGGGCTGATGTATTAATGAACGCCCCCCCCTTCCCCGGCTGCACCCGCCACACCGCCCGCAAAGCACGTGCCGCCTGTCCCCGCGTGATTAATTCTCATTGTCTCCTCAAGGTTATTGATACAACAAATCCCATTTTGCTCTCACCCCCACATCACCATGGCAACCGCCCCTCCCCTCCTCGCAGCCACTAACCTGAGGCGTTCCTTCTGTGTGCGTGTGACAAGACTTGTGAGCGTGTACCTGTTGGGTGCCTGAAGGAAACTCGCTAGTTCCTCCACCGTGTTTTCTCTCTCTTTCCCCCCCCAGCCATCGCTCCTCCCCCTGCAATGCTGACCCCGGATAATGCCCCTTTCTACGTGCATCAAGCACACGGCACGAGCCAAACTCTCCGTGGCGGCGGAGAAACTTTATCTGGCCGGAGCTTCCTGCATTAACAAACCACGCATTACAGAAAGCCAGTGGTCATGACTTGCTGTGGACAAACATGTAATCTAGCCTCAAAAATAAGGAAATTTAAGTTGATGACTCGATGAATATGCATACATGCTAATTGGACATTTTGTTCAAAATTAGAAGCTTGGGGAAATATGACAGAATAAACACAACAGAATAACCTTCCTCTAATAACAAACCGCATGTCTGTGCCCCCCCTCCCCCTGCCCCGCCCCCCCTTCCAGAGGATGGTGACCTTGTGGAGGTGTTTGTGTGCTTCAGTGACCCACAAAGCTGTGTCTTCTAGAATCTGATCTCCTGGCAGGGCCTCCCTTGCAAATAGGCCAACCACTAAACGAAGCTCACGGATTATTGGCCAGTCTATGTTCCTGTCCTACCCCATGATCACGAGCCGTGTGTAATGATAGATAGAAGAGGGTCACATGCGGGAGAAGGGAGGTTTCTCCACAGCGTGGCTGGACATTCTGCCACAGCGTAAGGAGAGCAGAGGACTTCGATATACAGTCACTGCTGCTGTGGATGGAGAAAAGTCAGCTGATATAGCTTGGGCACCCTTTGAAGATGCTGAATGGTCAGATCCCAAGGGAGCTGTTCCAGGCCTGAGTGGGTTCCCCCTGGGGCAGAACCAGGACATTCTGGAGGGACTATCGCCCAGCTGGCCTGGAAACGTCTGGGGATCCCCCAGAATGAGCTGGAGTCCGCGACTTCGTTGAGGGAAGCGTGATGTGACCTGCTTGGCGTTGAGGGAAGCGTGATGTGACCTGCTTGGCGTTGAGGGAAGCGTGATGTGACCTGCTTGGCGTGCTTCCACCACAACCCTCACCAGGAGTGGTGTGAGGAACATAATGATGTATGTCTGGCTCACACAGCTTTTCTGAATCTCTGTGCAGCCAGATAACACTCCCATCCTGGGATCCCTTCAGCTGGTATCAAACAGCATTCCTCGCTTCCCATCCTAAACTAGTCCCCCGGTAGTGATCTTTCACCAAGTTATGCAGTATTTAAATGTTTACATTACTCTTAGCTTTAAGGACCTTACATAGCATCCAGTCTCTGGTGTCTCCCCCTGCTGGTTGTTGCAGTGTAATGTCTCTCCCTTAAGCCTCATCTTCAGCTGGTCACAGAACATTGTGCACTTTTTGGTCATAAACTCTAATTTCTCTTGTAATCCTCCACCTCAGATACTTCCAGAATATTTCTAGTCCCCAACCTCCTAGCTTATGAATGGTCACACTAATAACTCCTAGCTTCCTGGGGTATATACAGTATCCTGCTACCACCTCAGCCCCAGCCCCTCAGGGCATCGCACTCTGGCGCCCCCTAGTGTCCGCCCTCACCAGCTCCATGCACCGTCGGCTGCTCTCCTGCTCACGCAGACTCAGCTCCTCCATTTCCAGACGCATGTCGGCCAGGCGCTGCTGGTAGTAGTGGGCGTTCTCGCGCTCGCGGGCCTCCGTCTGCGCCGCCTGCTCCAGCTCCTCGCCCAATCGCACCACACTGTCCCGAAGACGCAGGACCAGAACCTGGAGGGGGGGGGGGGCGCAGGGAGACAGAGTGGCCAGGCTGCAGGAAACCGGAAAATGCTGCGTGGAAACCTCATGAAGTGTGGGCAGCGAGGGAAGACCAGGCGTGGAAGCGGCACCTTCCCGTGGGATGTTAACATTCCACACATAACACACAGCTCAGGCCAAAAAATAATAGACATCCAGGCACTTTGGCAGGTGATTTCACTATTTTAATTCAGGCAATGTCTATTTCATTTGCCAAAAGTAGGATATATTTAGCCTCAGCAGTCAATAAAAAAAAAAAACACATCCTTTGAGTGAGCTGACACCTGTTTTCCTCAAACCCGCTGAAGCGCTGCAGGCTCTCATACAGAAAACACACACATATCCAGCTGAAGGTTCGGCCTCCCTGCCAAGTGGACCGCTGTCCTTACACAGTGCAGGTCACCTGACCCCATGCGGGAAAGCTGGCACCAATCAGAGCAAAGACAGGCCCGGTCGACTAATCGCCTGAAATATGCCAGCTAGCTCCGCGCTTCTGCTGTTGAGCTCCAGCCAGCGTTAGCCAAACCCAGCCCAAGCCGCACTGCTCTCATGCCCAAGCCGCACTGCTCTCATGCCCAAGCCGCACTGCTCTCATGCCCAAGCAACACTGCTGTCATGCCCAAGCCGCA